TTTTTTTTATTTGTTTGTTTGTTTTTGTTTTTTGTTGATTTTTGGGTTTTTTTCTTTTTTTTTGCCGATCAAGGATAAGGGATTTTAAGATAAATAAAGCTGCTGATAGCAATCAAGTAATTAGAACCAAAAACTTCTGCCACTTTGAACATAATTTGTATGACTCATATCCGATTTACATGTTATTCAAACAGCAATGCAGAGCAGTGACAGCTCTAGTATTGTTCGAGATTAAAATCCTATAGGTGGGCGTATTGTTTACATTTCCAAATCAACTTTTGAGCCATAAACGATTGGACTTAAGAAATATAAAGAAGTCATAACTGTTGATAATATTTATCAATTTGAGAGAAGTTGCTTCATTAGTTCAGGAGATATAATAAAATAAAGTTGATAAATTTTGCAGTAAATGTAGGTGCCATCATCTTGCCAACCAACATACATTTACGGTCAAATTTCACAACGGTTAACTTGAAAACCATCAAAAGATTTGTCCTCAAATTCTCAGATATCTTCCAAAGCGATAGGATCCGCCCTACGAGCTCATGCAATCACGAACTCTTTGAAAAACTAACTCGTGCAAATTAATCCCAAATTGAACTCGAAATCATATTATTATCTATACTAATAGAATTTTAAGATAATCATAGACACTTAACTCATATCATGACAGAAGTTCATGTCATGAAATTTTAATTTCCTAAAAAGTGTTTTGCATGCAGATCATTAATAACTCTTCGTAAAATCAAACATATTAGAGGAAACTCTAATAACTGTATGTTAAGCAAAGTTTTATTTGCTATCAGTGATGGTTTTTGAGTTTATAATATATACACTCTACAAAATTACTCGATTCTGATTGGACATGAGCATTTACAAATTGTACTCTCTTTAGAGTCCCAAAGTTAAGTTTCTCAATTTTGTTCAGTGTATTATAAACAAAAAATCGCACAATCTTCTCGTACAATTCGGAATTTATAGATACTCGTGATGTGTTTTGAAAGTTCTCAAATTGAACTTGCCTCTCGAGATCGTGTGATTTCCAATACAAAGTTTTCATTATCTGTCTTGTTTTTTTTGTTTACCGCAACAGAAAAAACAATTGACTAACCTTCCTAAAATAAAAAGAGATAAAAAACTGAAAACGAAACATATGAGAAAAAGCCACGATATTTTAACAGGAGACATGAGCGCCTGGGGAATTTACTGAATTATAAAATAATTGCTTCCCAATTTTTCACGTTTTCCGGATGTTTAGCTAAGAAGACCGAGGGATTGAAAAAGCAAATTTAAAATAATTATTCTGAAAAGTAATTCAAAAGGCCGTCTTAAAACTAATGATGATGGATAAAACACATAGAAATAAACTGCATGTCAAAAATAATTCTCTTGCCTTACATTAATATATCCCCAACCAGCGCGAACGTCGAACTTCAAAAGTAACTCGTTCAGTATCTTGAACAAAGTCGTGTGCTAACATATCATACTGGCATACATTATCAACCACCGACTCACCTTGCAAACGCCTTTACCTTATTCCTGATGGATGTTTACTAATCAAGTACAAGATATCTCCCAGTCTCAATAATCACTATCCAATCAAAAGATGCGTGTACACCTGTCCGATTGAGCCCTACGTGATAACAGCTCCCGGGGGGGGGGGGAGGGTACTCCCATATATGAACTATACGGGGATGATCCGCTGAACAGGGTATGGTTTTTCAAGCTTCTTGTCATAAACAGGGTATGTAATTTCACTCAAGGTCCAAATTCTTCCTGAGTTTCTTGTCATATTCAGGATTTCTACTTTCGTATTGAC